GTCACCATTCTTTTTTTTGCGCCTTTATCGCAATGGTATTTTTTGTTTCATCATTTTTTAGGGAAAGGCATTGCATTACTATCTGTTCAGATGCTTGCTATGTGAAATCTGCCAAAAAAAAACCCTGCTTTAGTGGATCATGCCACTAGGAAAGAAACGATGGAACAACTCTATTTATTGGTGATGGTGAGGATTGAAGTAATGTGGGATTAAAAGAGGCGTGGTCTATTAATCAAGATTTCTTACAAGCTTTTGAATTTCTTTTATAAAGAGTGTATACAAATGATACACTTTTAACGTGGTTCAGACTTTTCTTGTCGGTTTGGTTTAGACATTTGCTGCACGTATAGCTTGCAACTTGTTGAAATAGGTGACTTTTGCATCTTTTCATTTCTGGATTCAGTAAAGGTTTATTGTAAAAACAACAACGAATCCTTACCCAAACAAATTGGGATAGGTTAGAGATGAGACCCAATAAGTGCCCACATTAACCAAAAAGTATCTCAAAATTATAAGTTAGTGATTTAATTCTACCGATATCAATGTTATGTTCAGTTGTCCATGCCCACCATTGCGAACAGACCAAGGAAACTGAACATTGATGCAAAGGAAACAATAAGTCAATCCACAACTCCAAATGTAAATTAAATGTCCTACTTAGATTAGTTATACCCTCCAGAACTCGCACCATGAAAGCAGTCATCATTCATGGACCTAAATTGCGAAATGGATGCTCCCGAGGCCCTGGACATACATCACGAAACGGAGGTAGTAAAAGAAATTTAGGTCGACGATTCTTGCACTATTACAGATATTGCATTTATGCTTATTAAATAGGCTAAGCGCATTTGCCAGTATTTGAGGTTTTCACAGTTTAGCTGGGTGTGAAACTTTTGCATTTTCAGGTGGAGAATCAGAAGCTGACCCATGGTGTAAGAAAACTTCTGCTGAAGATGATTCTGATCCATGGGGTAAGAAAACGGATGGTGATTCTGATCCGTGGGGTAAGGAAGCGGTATCTGCTGCTGACGGTGATTCCAATCCATGGGGTAAGGAAACAGTACCTTCTGCTGCTGGTGATTCTGATCCATGGGGTAAGAAAGTGTTGTCTTCTGCTGATGGTGATTCTGATCCATGGGGTAAGAAAGCAACATCATCAGCTGTTGAAGTTTGGAACACTAGTGCCACTCAAAAGGAAGGTTCTAGTGGCAATGCATGGGACAAACAAGCTGGAGTTGGTGGATCTGATGCTGCTGGCAGCTCCTGGGACAGAGCGGTTGTCAATAAGGAGAGTGAAAAGAGTGACAACTGGGGAGAGGCTTGCAGGGTTATGGACATGGGAACTGGAGCTGACACAGACCCTTGGGGAAGCAAGGTCAAGGCAGTAGATATGGAAGGACCAAATAGCTGGGAAAAGGCTACAGTGCCTCCAGACAGTAAGCTGGAGTATGTCAGTCAAGGATGGGGCCGACCTAAGGGCAACTCAACTGAAGACCAAACAAAAGACAATGTTTCTAAAGATGTGGACAATAATGTGGCTTGGGGCAGTTCTTTGCCTGTCACTGAAGATGGTACCTGGGGCAAGTCAAAAGACAGCACTTGTGATGGAGCAGGTGGCGCAGGAGGTTGGGATGCTTCTGCTGCCAACTGGAATAAATCATCTGTTGTGGCTGATGCACAGGATGAAGTTTGGGGCAAAGGAAACTGGTCATCTGCTAAATCTGAAGAAACAAACAATGAAATTGGAAATTGGAACAAAGCCGGAGCTTCAGACCAAGCTGGTGACAGCAGTTGGGATAAACCGAAATCTTTTGGTGGTGATGGTTGGAACAAGGGTGATGATCAGAATAGCAGTTGGAACAGGCCTGGAAATTTTGAAGGTGGACGTGGCTTTGGGCGAGGACGAGGGAGAGGTAGGGGCCAGGAATCTGGAGATTTCAATGGTAGAAATGATCAAGGAAGTTGGAAGAATTCATGGGGTGGTGACAATGCTGAAAGACCCTCTTGGAGGTCTGATAATCAGGTAGACAATGAAGCTGGAGATTCAGGTGGATATAGGGGAAGGGGAAGAGGAGGAAGGGGGCAATATGGAGGACGAGGGAGGGGGAGAGACAATGGTTGGAGAAATGGTGATAGAAGCGATTCTGTGTTTGGAAGGGAACAGAACAGTGGTGATGGACCAAAATGGGGTGGTGGAGGTAATTGGAACGCTACAAATCCACCAAGTAACCAGCCCTGGAGTAGCAGTGGAGGCACCAAGTCATATGGTCAAAATCAGCCTTCGACTTGGAATAATTCAGAGGATAACAAACCATCTGTAGGTCAGTAAACCTGTTTAATTTCTACCTCTAGTTTCCCTGTTAAAGTTTCAAGCGACTATTTCTAAATGGCAACTCGAACATGCTTCTCAAATTTCTTGATTTGCCTAAGGCTCAAGCTGCTTTTTTTATTACATTTTAAATTTGTGCAAAGCACAAACTGGGTCATCCAAGCTGAGAGCTATCAATATTATAATCAAATAATTGACATTCTCGCCGTCCATTTTATGCTAGAGTATTTATTTGTATTACTCTTGTGTAGGTGAACAAGGTGATCCTTGGGCAAGCAAGGTGTCTTCTACTGAAGGTGATTGAGAAGCAATCAGAGAAATTCCCCCCCCTCTCTGTTTAGTGTTTCTATCTGTAGTTTTCCTCTGAGCTTCCTAATTCACTTGCTGTCTTGGGGGCTCTTTGCAGGTAAAGAACAACAGAATGATCCTTGGTCAAGTAAGATGACTTCTGGTGGTGCTGAGGATACCAGTGGTGGCTGGGACACCAAGGCGAAAGACTCTTCCTGCAATGATGGGGGTAAGTGGGAAAATGCTGGTAGCGTTGAGCCAAGCAAATTTCTTATTCTACGTACTTGTAGATGTAGTTATTACATAGATCTTATTCAAATTGTCATGTGTAGGTGAAGGACTACAGAATGATCCATGGGCAAACAAGATTGGTTCTAATGAAGGTACTCAAGAGACTATCTGAATGGTTGGCGTTGGTCACTCAGCTGGACCATTTTAAGCTGAACAGCAGTGTTATCTGTTCTGGGTCTCTTGTTGAGCTTTTATTTTATTTTTGTAGGTAAAGAACAAGAAAATGATCCTTGGGTCAGCAAGATGTCTTCTACTGTGGGTGCTGAAGACAAGAATGGTAGCTGGAACACGACAGCAAAGGACACTCCTTCTAAGGAAAAGGCTGATGATCCCTGGAATAGTAAGGGGGGTAATGATGACAGCAAGAAAACTGACACCTGGGGTGCTGGCTCGTCAGGTGGGAATCAGGAATCTTCTTGGAGCAAACCGAATTTCTCTTTGGGGGATCAGGAACCTACTTGGAACAACCCAAGGTTTGGTGATGATGACAATGGAAATAATAGAGGTGGATTTGGACGTGGAAATCGAGGCAGAGGGAGAGGAAGGAATATTGGGGATGGTGATGGATCATCATGGAATGGAGGCAATAGAAATGATGAATCAGGTGGTGGAAGGTCTGGTGAGCCATGGAACAGAAGGGATTTTGATGGTGGCAGAGGAAGAGGCAGAGGTCGCTTTGGGCGAGGTGACCGTAATCAAGACAACAACTTTGGGTCAGGAGATGGTGGCAGCTGGGGCTCTGGCAGGGGAGATGGTGGCAGCTGGGGCACTGGCAGGGGAGATGGTGGTAGCTGGGGCTCTGGCAGGGGAAATGGTGGCCGCGGTGGTTACAGGAACTGGAACGACAATAATGAAAGAAAGCCCTTCGGTCAAGGTGGTGGCTGGTCTCAGTCTTCCGACTGGAATGCCAACAAAGCTTTCTCGAAAAGCAAGCCCAGCTGGGAAGTACAAAACACCTCTGGTGGAGATGATCAGGCAGGAAAGAATGATGCAAACAACTCCTGGAGTCAGAACAGATCTCCATCTATCCTGGGTCAGCCAAGCGGTTCAAAAAGCAAGCCCAGCTGGGAAGCGCAAAACACCTCTGGTGGAGATGAACAGGCAGGAAAGAGTGATGCAAACAACTCCTGGAGTCAGAACAGATCATCTCCATCTATCCTGGGTCAGCCAAGTGGTGATGCTAACAAGTCAAGCGCTTGGGGCGCTCCCAGTGGAGGAGCTGGCAGTGGAGGTTCTTGGGGAAAGAGCAACGAGGATAACTGGAACTCATCGGGAGGATCAGCCACAGAGAAGCCTTCATGGGGTGGTGGGTCAGAAGCTCCTCCCAAGAAAGAGGTCGATCCATGGGGCAAAGGTGGCCAGGCGAGCGGGAGCCAAGGAGGGGGTGGTGGCAGTTCCTGGGATAAAGCGGCAGATGGTGCATGGAACGGCAACAAGGGTACTGATACTGGCAGTGGTGGATGGTAAAAACTTTCGCCAAAATAAGCTTGCGCCTTATTGGCGTTGACTAATGTAAATAATGTGCCCGTGCTGTGTGAACTGTGTCGGTGCGTGTGTCTAGTTCGAATCAGTTATTTTGGCTATGCGTACTCTAAACTAAAAGAACATGGCTTGTGACCAGTTAAATGTTACCTAGTGCTGGCAGTAATTAGATGCCTTTGCTCCATCCTGTTTGAGGATACGTGCTGGTTTTGTTGTAACGTTTTTAAGCCGGTAACTGAATCTACTCTTATCATCGCCAGATTCTGATCTTTGGTTATCCACCCTACGAGTCTAGCTTTGCATAGCGTATGCCGTAAGTGCCGGAAACTGAAGCTCCAATAAACAGCGATCCTAAAAATGCTAGCGCAGAGTATTTCACCCAACTTATGCAGTGTGCATGGTCTGGAGTCGTCTTCATCAATATCTCAAAATCAAAACGAATAAGAACGAAAGGTTACAGAATGCATCGATCAGAAACTCACTTGTTTACGCATTCCCAATTCCTAATCCTACGTGCTAACAGATGTAGCACCATTTGTTTGTGTTGGATAAAATTGTCTAGCTAACAGAAACAGAGCCGTGTTTCTCATTGCACGGTGCAGCAGCAGCCATGGCGCTCACACCTGTCTTGTTCCTCCTGGCCTTGTGTCTCTCAAGCGTGGTGAGCAGCTCATCTGCAGGCTCGCCACGCCGCAACTTCACCTCCATGTTCACCCTTGGGCACTCGTACATCGACACCGGCAACTTCGTGATCATGGCGGCGCTGGTGATCCCGGAGTGGATCGACAAGCCTCCCTACGGCATCACCTTCTTCGGCCGCCCCACCGGGCTAAATTAAATGGCTAAATGCCCGCGCGCAAATAGGTAACCCTCGATAGTTATCTGAATTGAAGTTTGTACGCTGACGGTTTGTTCCGTTCGATCGGGTTTCAGCTGAGGCGTTTGGGCTCCCGTTCCTCCCGGCTTGGCTTGCAAACAGCTCGGACGTCTCGCGGGGCGTCAACTTCGCCGTCGGCGGCGCGACGGCGATCGACGTGGGCTTCTTCGAGAGGAACAAGCTGGTGCCGTTCAAGCTGCTGAACAACTCGCTGGACGTGCAGCTGGGCTGGTTCGAGGACCTCAGGCCGTCCCTTTGCAACGCCACGGAAAGTATGCATGCATGCTGCCACGCGTGCTCTAAATATTTGTAATACTAATAGATAGAAACTGATCGACGATTGCTGCAGCAGGGTCTTGTGGGGAATGTTTCAGCAAATCACTTTTGTTCGTCGGGGAGTTTGGGGTCAATGACTACACCTTCATCTGGATGGCGAACAAAACCGAATCCCAAGTGACGGCGTACGTGCCGAAAGTTGTGAGAACCATCGCCTCGTCCGTCGAGGTATAACTGCACGCACATTCCTTCTCAGCGTCGGTCACGCACGCAGATGCGTGATCGAGTGATAATGGAGAGCTTTGCATGACATGAGTCGTGACCGTGACAGAGGCTCATCGTCCGCGACGGCGTGGCGCACGTGGTGGTGCCGGGGAACCCGCCGATCGGGTGCTCGCCCGCGCTCCTCACCCTGCTCCGGCGGAGCCCCAGCACGGCGGCAGACTACGACCGCATCGGCTGCCTGCGCGGCGTCAACGACGTGGCCAGGCACCACAACGCGCTGCTCCACGCGGCCGTGGGCGGGCTCAGGGCGAAGCACCCCAAGGCCACCATCATCTTCGCCGACTTCTACACCCCGGTCCGGCAAATCCTGGAAAACCCCAGCCAATTCGGTAAGACTACTTGAAGTAGTCTCAGTTTTGGTGAAGAATTCGTGCACACACACTTGACCTCCTGCGGCCACTGATGAGCTCGTCGTGTGAAATGATTGATTCTGCGACGTACGTGCAGGTGTGGTCAGTGACGTTCTCAAGGCGTGCTGCGGTACCGGCGGCGCCTACAACTGGAACGCCAGCGCCGTGTGCGGGACGCCGGGGGTGGCCGCCTGCGCCAACCCGTCGGCGTACGTAAACTGTGACGGGGTGCACTTCACGGAGGCCGTCAACCGATACGTCGCCGAGGGGTGGCTCTACGGGCCCTACGCTGACCCGCCGATACTCAAAGCTATGCGGCCCTAGTCTTACAACGTATTCCGTATGAAAATAAGTTTACACGACCTGCACTCTGCTTCAATCAAAGATATAATAGTAGTAATAAATAACCGAATGAAAATAAGTTTACATTCGGCTGATTAATTAGCAAGCGTGGCATAAGAGGGGACCGAAATCGGCGAATCCTTAGGAAATGCACGGAGTTAGGAACCACAGCTTTATAAAGGCCTTGCAGTGTGACCCCGCTGAGCACCTAGACAGTGTTTAGCGTGATGGGAAAACATGATTCGTGATGAAAGGGTGTAACCTCTATAAAGTGTAAAACTGATATATCAGCTATGCTCACGGTCAATAGCGGTCTCGACTTCTTCGTGATTAGTGGATCTTTGGGAATCCTTGTATGGATATTAGTCTCATGGTGACATGGGAACGGAAGATGGCTTCTATGCGCGCATTGTGAGGACTAATACATATGGGTGGACCCTATGATTGGTTCATATGAGATCTGGGATGGAATCTAAGTGTTGATGTAGTTTGGTTCTCTGAGGAGATTGCGGTTTTCACCTAGTAAATAGGTACTGAGGAGATTCAAGGTAACTAGGATGTGTCGTTTAAGCATCGGTGTCAAAACCTCAAGTGTTTCCTTTTTTTAAGCCTCATGTCATACTGCCCTATACTTGCGGAGTATATTTTGATGTACTCATCCTTCCCTTTTGCCCCCCTGCTACCCCACCCAGCTGTTAGAACTTGAAGACGGAGTTTCGCGAAGGCAGTGCTTGAGCTAGGTTGGTGTAATTTTGTTTTAGACCCTCTGACCCTTTTTTTAATAAAGTTATCGTTTATGTAATAAACATTGCAATGTATTACTATATTATCATTGAATGTATGAATAAACTGATCCTGGCATACATGTGATGTGCATTCGGTTTTGTCCTTAAAACTGGGTGTGACAGCCGATGAGTTGGACATTGTTGCTATTTAGTGCTTTTGTGTTTTCAGGTTTGCATAAACCTCACCTAAAAACAGAGGGTCATATGTTGATGATAAAAAATGACCAAGGGGTGAAAGAGATCTTGTGACAATATTTCTGGTAATAAAATAACCATGGAAAATATATTGGAGCATTGCATTTGGATCTCGGAGGCAAAATAACGAAAAAGGGAGACACTCACCTTGCCAAACCGGTCAAGCCCCCGACAAAACCGGCCTGGCCGGTTTCACTGTGTGCCCTGCTGTGCCTGACCTCCTTTGGCCCAACAAAACCGGCTGGCCAGTTTGGGACCCGGCTAGACCGGTTTCCCTGCTGAGTTCGAACCAATCACTTTCCAAATCGGTTTTTGGGACACGTTGTAGCGTAGGAAACGTGGAGATTACGATTTGGACTTATTTTCTACTGGGATAAGACTACCCCTCTATACACTACATCAAAATGTAAATTCCTTGGGGGAGGGGGGGGGGGATTCCAGGATTTTCTTGGGTGCCAAAATCCAACTGCCAAGGAATTTATCATTTCCTTGGGGTTGTAGTAAACCGCCAAGGAAATGTGTATCCTTAGCGGTTCCACTTGGCCTCCAAGGAAAAATGCACTTTTCTTGAGTGTTGTTGTGAATCGCCAAGGCAAACACCATTTCCTTGAGTGCTGTTGCAAACCGCCAAGGAAAATATTTTTAAAAAAATCAATATTTTTTATGACTTTTTCAAATGATTTCGGATGGAGAAATGACCTAAACCAAAGTTGTAGTACTCAAAAAGATCTAAAACTTTCCCGTTCAAACATTTTTCATTTGAATTAATTTAGGGTGTCAAATATACATTACAAAATTCACCAGACTAAATACAAAAGCATTGCATTAGCTATTCAGTTACAAATGATTTCAAGGTGCAGTGATAAGGAAGTAATTATGTGAAGGTTTAGGTCGTGATGAGTTCGAAACTTAGTAGCTGCAGGGGTTTAAGATTTTTGAACTTTTTAAAGATTTTTGAACTTTTTTTTGACATATTTTCTTGGCGGTTGACATATTTTCTTGGCGGTTAGTCACCCCTAAGAAAATGAATTTCCTTGACTGCCGACTCATTTCCTTGTCGTCTTGGCAATCTAGTGTATGTCTATATTTTTCTTGGCGGTTGACAGTCAAGGAAAGCTTCCTTGAGGGCTAGCCGCTAAGAAAATTCTATTTTCCTTGCCATCCAGCCTCGACGGTTCATGCTTGACGGTTGACCGCCAATAACTATTTCCTTAGCGATTTGGTAGTGTATATATATTAGAGGATCACGACTGATTGAATGATCAAACACTCCATCGTCTTTTTTACATCTATTACCCCTTTTACCCTATTTCCCAAATCTCTTACTGTTCACTGCATCTCTCCACGAGGTACGGTGCGTTCTAGGTAGCCTTGATGACCCTAGGACAACCTCCGGCGTGCATCTCGTAACAGGTCCTCCCGAGAGGTGTTCTCGAGTCTTTGTGGCAAAGAACGAGCTCTAAATCGGCCTAATTGACTTTTAGATCAGTTTTGCTGATTCTTGGAGCTTCTTGTTGCGTGTGATAGGATGTTTGCAACCTCCGGACGTGCGATCCCTTGCTAGTGTATGATCCGGGAACAATCCGACATCAACAGGTCCCTAGGCAAACCACACCAATAATGTACTTGTGTTGGCCGCCATATACATACTCCACCAGTCTCTTGTCAACTTTGCGGGTACCTCTAACACACGACACCATCCTACAGTCATCCAATATCCGTCACTCCAGAGGGCTAAAGTTTAGCCCCGTCACATCGGATGTTTGTGTGCTAATTAGAAGTGTTAAACATAGGTTAATTATAAAACTAATTACATAAATGAGGGCTAATTCGCAAGACAAATCTATTAAGCCCAATTAGTCCATGATTGGACAATGTGGTGCTACCGTAAACATGTGCAAATGATGGATTAATAAGGCTTACTAGATTTGACTTGTGAATTAGTCACGGCTTCTGCAATTATTTTATAATTAGCTCATATTTAGTACTCCTAATTAGCATTAAACATCTGATGTGATAAGATTTAAACTTTAGCCGAGGATCCAAACACCCTCCAAGCGGCCTTCCACCTCCGCCGATGCCAGCTCTCTCAGCTCAACCGATCCACGAGACTCACCATTGTGCGTGAATGTTGTTTGTGCCTTCTTGCCGTGGGCGCCACCACGCGGCCAACTAAAAGCAACCCTGTCGCACGGCTAGACGAGAACACTAGCCACCTCCGCCACCATCTCGCGCGCGGCTACCAACGTGCCACGCTGCGGCATCTCCTAAACTGTCGCCCCCATTCCATCACGAGCTGTCCCTAGCCCAAGCGGCGCCGCCGTTGCACACGCACTGTCTCTGCATTGCCCTGCCGCGCCAGCGCCACCGTAGCACGCGTGCGGCCTGCGCGCCGCCGTTGTACGCAGGCGGCCTCCACGCAGCCACCGTGCCGCTGTGGCATACGCGTGGTCTTCGCAACACGCTGCCCACGCGCCACCTCCGCACCACGCTGCCCACTATATATGAATTTTTCCTTAGTCGCACTCGCGCATGTGCGTACATTGTTGTTTCCTGAAGATTTTATTGTTATTATTTTTCGAGAACTGCTTCAGTACTCCTTCTAAAACATGCATGGATCTCAAAGCAGTCCATTGAATTAACTAGATATTTTCTTAATTATTTTCCAGCCCATTTCCAGGCCATGGCCACATTCCGACATTCGCATCATCAGGGCACCCGAGACGAAGTTGACCGGTGCGTGTGTGATTGAGTATAAATCTACTAACTTCCTACTAGTACTACGATTCTATCCTGCACTAGTATACACTGCTGCCTCGAGAGTCAAGGCAGGTTTAGAACTTTAGATGCGACACGCCCAGACCTGTTACGCAGGAACAGAGCGCAATGGACGACGCCGAGACGGCACCGCTCCTCGTGTGCGGGTGCAACACCGCCGCGACGGCAAGCGCACAGCGCAGCAACCCGGCTCACGACGGCGTGAAACGGAGAATGGATGTGCTGTCATGCTCGATCCGCTGTCTGGGAATGGTCACCGCCCGTCGTCTCCTTCATCGAGGAAACGGAACGAGTGGCCAACGAAGAAAGGGGACCTGGAAGCGATTACTTTGGATTTGGGTAAGGGCTAAACACCCGCTAGGTTTGAATGGGCCAAACCCAGGAGAAAAATAATTAGGAAAAAATAATGGGCTAATATATGGCTTTGAGATCTGTGCAATATTTTAGAAAGAGGAGTATCGGAGCAAAAGCCTTATTTTTCGGTAAATCTAACCCTCGCTCGGGTGATTCTGCCGCTCACGTCACTCGATTCCTAGGCCGTCGGATGCATGCAATGCGTGCGTGTGATCTGTGCCTGACCGAGAGAATCTTGCATGCAGACCACATCTGCCCGGGACCACACACGCCACGCCCACTCTGGAACTGCCCGGACGGCCAGACCACATGGTCCCCCACCTCGGCCCCTGTGCATGTTGCCTTCGAGTAGAATAGGCAGGCTCACAACTCGGCCCCCGTGTCTTCAGAAACAGCAGCCTCGCCCTAACGTGTAACGTGTACGTATGTATGTTTATTCCTTTAATAGAGATAGATTATATTTTATTGGACCATATTTTACTATTTCTATTTTGGTGTAAGTCTTATATTCAATTGGTGTAAATTGATTATTTATAAATAAGAATATTAAGAATTACTCGAACAATTATCTGATATCTTTTTGGCCTTTTCTTTAAAAAAAAGTGTATGCTTTAATTGATTTCCCTTTGAAAAGATCCAATTTGGCTTTCATAGAAATAATCTGATTATTTTTTATTTTTTATTATTTTATTTTTGTATTTATTTGATATATTTTATTTACATCGTTAGATCTGGATCGAGTGGTTATAGGAATCGAGTGTTTGGCTGAGATATGACACTCGATTATAGTATTTGTTTGCAATCGACTGATTTTAGAGGATGTGTCACTCGGTGTCATATGCCCCCTGAAACACCCGAGTGTTCCGTAGACACACCCTTATTTCCCCCCTATGAATCAATATATCTTACAATCTTACGTTTGTTCACTAGTTCATCAATCAAAAAATAAAAATTATGTGACCTTTTTTGTTTCTTTTGTCTCAGTTTGGCTCCGCTCAATTGCATCCAGTATACGGACGTGATAGTTTGGATGTTGATGGCAATGGCATGCACCAAACTATTCCAACTGTGTGAACAGAAACAAATAAGTATAGAAAAACGTGAACAGTAAAACACCACTGGAAACTCCGGAGTCCGTCCGTTCTTGAACTACCTTGTCATCACACGGCGTGCCAGATGAATGGTGCGAAGCCAAATACAGAGTGCTATGCCACTTGGTGACATGATAATTCTGTTCTCTATTATTTTTTCTTTGTAGTTTGTTATATAAACATAGTAGTTACATACCATGGCTAAAAATTTAAATAATGGCAGCAAATTCGAAAGGTGGATATAAAGGATATGTCTAGGTGACATTCAGTTGTTTTGGCCTCTCCTATCAACTGAATTTTTTTCATGCACTTACACCATCATCTAGCTATATTTACACTGTCCTATTGCTATATTTAGGCCCCGTTTGGCAGGGCTTCTCCACCAGTTTCAGGAGCCGTTTGGAGCCATTTTCTGCCAAACGGGGTAAAGTGAAATAGCTTCACTGGTGAAGCCCCTAAAAACATGCTCTCACAATGATTTAGGGTGGGATGGAGCCAAAAAAAGTGGCTTCTTCCGGCTTCTCTTCCAGGCCTCTAAAAACATGCTCTTACAGGGAAGCCATTTTGCCAAACGGTTTACCAAAACCACTTCAGCTCCACCGGTGGAACTGTTCATGAAGCTGAAGCAAAAAAAAAAATAGCTTCACTAGTGAAGTGAAGCCCTGTCAAACAGGGCCCTACAATGATTTATTCAGTATAATTTATTGAACAGAGTGATATAATTTGGGAATAACACAAATATATATCAAAATTTTCAAAAAAAATGACAAATTTTTTTTCTATGGATTCCGGATATCAAACAAATATATATCAAATTGTTCACAAATATCATCAATTTTTTCACAAACTTACAAATTTACAAATTTTTCTATAGCGAGAAGCGTGCATGACGAACTGCATGCGACGTGTCCTGGATCGGATCTCCTGCGTGCACGCGTCCAGCCAGCAGGCATGGCAGCCGCTGCTCCACTTTTGCCACGTACTACGCGCGCACGGATGATGGATGCATACACCTAACAATGGGGGACGCATCGGATGGCCTGGGCCATCGGCCGACGACAACGAACGGTCCAAAAATCAGTTGATACAAGCTCCTGAATTAACCTGTTGATAGATAGCAATACTGGATATAAACATGCATTAGGAGTAGCATTTACGAGAGCTCTTACTCCGCAAATCATCGGGATCAGACTAAAAGAGAGTGGCGGCCACAAGGGCGGCAGCAGCACCTGAGACCATCCAAACTCCATTGCGGCCATTTCGGTGCCCTTGCACTCCTCCTGCTTCATATCCATCGTAGTAGTCGTTGTTCCAGCCGCCGGAGCCCACCCCTCTAGACCCACCGGCAGAGCTGTATGGAGGACCAGAGGATGGGTTCCTTCCTCCCGCGGCTCCGGACCCTCCAGCGCTCCCCCCTCCGCCTCCGGTTCCGCCCCGTGCGCCAGCCCCACCGCCACCTCCTCCACTGCCACCCCTTGCGCCGGCCCCACCACCACCACCACCACCTCCTCCGCCTCCTCCTCCTCCGCCGCCGCCCCTTGCGTCGGCCCCACCACCACCACCACCACCACCACCACCTCCTCCGCCTCCTCCGCCGCCCCTTGCGCCGGCCCCAGCACCGCCTCCTCCTCCGCCACCGCCCCCACTGCTTCCTCCGCTGCCCCCATCGCAGTGAGCGCCTTGGAAGCACGCGGCCACGCAGAGCAGCAGCAGGAGTAGGGCCCCGACGCCGAGCTGCCTCGCTCTATCTCTCATGCATGGTCCTCAACACGATATTGCCACTAGAGATGTTGTTGTTGAAGGCTAATGTTTGTCACAAGATGATTATATATACCTCAAGTTTCTTGGTGGGGAAGCTCTATTGGTGCCCATAAAATATAGTGGCTAAGGTGGCCTAATAATAAGCTGACTAGACCTAATTAAACATTAAGGATGGATGGGTTTCAGAGACCTCACCTTGTGTAACAAGGCCTTGCAGGCTGGGCGCTTGATGACCAGGAGACAGGAGTAGACCGCAGACTTAATGGACACGAACACGACACGGCTAAGCAAAGGGAAGTACACACTACTTGCCAAAATGGTGATTTTACGTGGCAACCGGAAGGAAGAAAAGTTCAAACGCATGTGGAGAGCAATTTTGCATGGGCATGATATTGTCCTGCGGGCTGTCTACCTGTCATTCGTGTGTTTTCTGGTCCACCAACAACCGGTTGTTACAGCTAGAAAAGACAACCGACAAATAGTACGTCGGGTGTTTCTATCCTTTTTTTATGAGAAGATCGGGTGTTTCTAGCTTTTTTTCTTCTTAGCAAAATCGGGTGTTTCTAGTTTTTTTTTTTTGAGCACTACCTGCTTGGGGTTGGACTTCCCAGCATGCGGCCCGGTTCAATAGGCAGGCCGGATGTCTATGCGGGCCGCTTTGGTATACGGCATCATGTTCTATTTTGTTATGTTAAAAACTGCCGGTTCATTATGTGGCACGGGCAACTATTATACCTAGTTGTTTATACAGGCTAGTTCATTGTATTTGTCCAATGTTTATACATGCCGTTTGTCAAGATCAGACAAATGTTCACCGTACCAAATTGTAGTATCGAACAAGCCCAAGCCTAATGGGTCAACATTAGATTTAAATTAATAAAAAGATCAGCCGAATGTTTTTGAAAAAAACAATCGCGCCCAATGCACAAGTCTTCGAGTGTTGCTATGTGTGTTGAATGAATTGAAAATACAACAAGAAATAATAAAAGGGAAATGTCTAACAAAAAAAAGAATAATTTGGAGAATATAAAACAAAAATGAAAAACATTCTAACAATTTAGAGCCTTTTTACTTGTGTGACATTATAAAAGATCAAAATTACCTGTGTACCGTTATAAGAGTAGGTACGATGCAGGCATGGGATTCACCTAGGCGCATGGGCGTTGAGGGCGGAGGAGACAACTCCATGGATTCGAAATTGCAGGGGTCAGGGCTGCTTGGCAAGAGGAAATCAAGGGTTCTATGATATAGGTGGTGGTCTGAGAAACCTAGTAGGAAACAAATCGATTTTCACATGGTGAAATCAGTTTGATATTTGTGCCGGGAGAATAGATCGATCTTGGCATGGTTGAAATGACCTTGGCTTTGTGGGGGGAGAATAGATCGTGAAGGGGACAAAAGAGTTAGTGGAGAGGGGAGCAGTAAAATAGATCGAGCAGGTTAGCGACCATGAGAGCGCGCCAAATAATGACTGACAAACTGAGAAACCTAGTAGGAAACAAATCGATTTTCACATGGTGAAATCAGTTTGATATTTGTGCCAGGAGAATAGATCGATCTTGGCATGGTTGAAATGACCTTGGCTTTGTGGGGGAGAATAGATCGTGAAGGGGACAAAAGAGTTAGTGGAGAGGGGAGCAGTAAAATAGATCGAGCAGGTTAGCGACCACGAGAGCGCGCCAAATAATGACCGACAAAAATTTAGTCGTCGGGTATCCTTGTACGATGCGTGGTCAGACGAAATGATAGAACCCGACGACCACAAATTACACGTGGTCGTTAGATATTATGGTGTAGTAGTGAAGGACTCATTCATGGGAAAAGAGGGAAGGGAAGGGGTTAAATGTAAAAAAAAACATGTCATGCTAGTATATCACAGCATGAAACGTCCATGTGGCTGACATGAACCTACAATGCACCATTCAACAAGTTTAGAGACCCAAAAATATATTTTTAAAGTTTATGGACTTAAGTGTGACACCCTTACAAGTTTAAGGGCTGCTGATGAACTTAACTCTTTTTTAATTAATCTCATCTCTCACTTACATGTCATCTCATGTTGTTGTGCCTTGTTATCATCAAATAGTCTAGGGTTTCATGGTGTCCATACATACACAAGTAAAAATGCCCTTTCTATCCTTACCTATAAGGTTACTAAATTCCTGGAACATGTAATGAATCCAAATGTCTGTCCTATTCCATCATCCATCTTAACCGTCATTTCAAATTATAAAACACTTTGGCTTTTCTAGTTATATTGTTTTTACTATATATCTATACACAGTGCATATCTAAGTGCAAAAGCTATGTATCTGAAAAAAAAATCCAATAATTTGAAATGGAGAAAGTAGCATTCTAAATCAATTTATCTATCCTAAAAACACCCTTCAACCATTCGCGCAATGGCTCTCCCACATAGGATGTCGTGGGCTCGTGGCCACAGCCCACAGGTCCCTCGCACGCCTTCGGCCTAGCACAGCCTACCCCATGCTGCTTCCCCTCCGCCGAGTGCTCCTGTCCCCGTGTCTAGATGGTCGCATCTCCAAAAGAAAAGAAAAAATGAAAATTGAAACGGCCACTCCCACTCTGAGAATTAAGTGATGAAATTGACTTTCAGCGTTTCATGAGAAAGTCTGAGACGAAAGCAGCAATTCCACCAACGTAATGCATGGCCAGTTAGAACAGAAGCATCTGAAGACAGGATGGTTTTACCAATATATGGAAGTATACGGTGGGGGGAGCGGCCTTTCTTTCGCATTTTCGTTTTGGGCTTACTCTCACATCGCCCAGCCATACATAACCTCCAAAGCCTTGTTATTCTTTGCCAGTGATATGTGACTTGCTCCAAGACCAGGTACACTTATCCAGAAGCAAGAGCAAGACGATAGACATAAGTGGAGGAAATGACTCGTGATCTTGGCACAGCACACGAACACAGAACAGCAGATTGCATGGCAATATGAACCACATTGATACAATCATAGAAATGCCATCTATTTCGTGGGGGCAAAGGGCATCCATCATGGACCAGTGACACCAGGACTAGCAAATAGGATAACATTCTCAAAATTTCCATGCTTGTCTAACATGAATGAATTGGTACACAACACTGTTGTGGAACTAAGTGATACCAAAGGTTTCCTAAGAAGATGGCACTAAACTATTTACCACACAATCTGACAGCAAGCTGGATAACACAGCAGTTGGGAACAGTTACAAGCAGGGATTCTTAATCTGGCTTGTATCCAAGACAAATGTAAACTTCAGCGATCTTTTACTCAGGGTTGACCTTTTGCTTCTTCGAGCCCTCCTTGTTTTTCTTGGCTTCGCGACGCTCCCTCTTTAGTCCCTTTATGTCGTTTGATAAGGTCAACTTCCCAACCTGAATTCAGTCAAAACAGTGAATCAGGTTATCATGTCAAAGGCAATCCTGCTACAAGTTTTTTGGAAGCAAAAACTCAGTACGAACCTGCTGGTCTGGCATGTAGACCTTGCCCAGCTTGCCCTGCACTGGATCCTTTATGACATTTTTCATCTGCAACAAGAAGGTTCACGATAGTTGTGAATATCACAGTGACTCAGGAGGAAGATTTCAGTGAGAACACAGAAAAAGGGCAGAAGTTAGTTCCATCGGGTTTACCTTCTTAGCATGTTCAGCAGTCTTCATAGCTTCTTTCTTTAAGCTTTCAACTGGAAGTCTGTGCCTCCTTACAACCAGATCCATTGAAGGTCCAACTTCGACCAGCTCCATCCTGGGAATTGATGTACCTGACCTTTTTAGACGGAGAGCACAGTGCATCATGTAGACAGTAGTAGGAGAGATTGCAGTGCACACATAGATCTGATCCACACCAGCAAGGTTTAGATTCTCTACGACCTGCATTCAACAGCAACAGTTTATTATGAAGTTCAAGAGATTATCATGGCATACCACCCTGTAATTACAAAATGGCGCACCTCTCCTCTGAAAAGATCCAGCAGCACTTCTTTCAAATGTTTCAGCTCTTCAGCACTCTCAAAGTGTTCCCCTATGAAAGCAAAGAAAGGCTTCGATCCAAGTTTTGGTGCTAGCTTCTTATCATAAACATAAGATTCCATCGACTTGTAGTTCTCAACTCCTACTTCAACAAGGTCATATATGTGGTGGTCATACGTTCTTCCCAAAATCAAATTGTTGGGCCTCTTCTTTGAATGAGAACCATACTGCATCATGAGTTAAACAAACAGTTGAAAACAATGGAGTGAGATAATCTCTTTAAAACAAGGGTACAAATCACCACGTTTAAGATACAATGACACAAGGATAAGGCATTGAAACAGAAATAGAAAATATTATACTCATTTCATTTACAGATGGATTTAGCAGGTATGGTTGACAGCAATTAATTGTGTAGCCACTAGATTATTCTACTTCTACTCCACACTATGAATTGTTACAACATCAGCAAATACAGGATCACATCATTTTTTTCAATGGTGTCAAGTACTTCAAACGTTCATCCAAATGGCAAACTATGAACTAGTCAAAATGATGTCACTCACCACTATAAGGCTGCAGTCTGTCTTGAGGGAGAAAAATTCCAGAGAAGATTCTCCACCACTTTCAAAAGGCCTAATGTTGTCATTCTTCTTGGTATATTTCACAGCATTATCACGCTTTAGGTGGTAAATATCTGACAGCACAGAGTTCAACACAGCACTAGTCTTGGTACCATGGAGGATCAGTGTCTTCTTGCTGGTCTCAACCTGGCAAAATTATCAGAGCAGAAAACAGATGTGAGATTGAAACACAAAGCATCAAACATGCTATTTCTATTTCCACTACATACAAGGTTCAAATTAAGCAGAACCTCCTTAAGCGGATAACAGATAGCTAAGATCAAGAATACCACATGATTTTCAGCATAAGCATAGTGCATTGCACATTGTGCCAACAGTTCGTGTCTTTAACCAGCAAGCCAACCCACTGCTTGATTTGATAAAGATTATATAGAGTTTCATCACTAGAAAGGATATGAACATCACACAAGACTTGCTAAAGATTGAGATTGCCTTGGCTATACTGTTTGTTCTAAGATGGTTCCTGCACGCTGACCCCGCAGGGCGGCAGCACAGCCAGTGTTCCATGGTAGTGGCTGATCAGGACATTGTATGACGACGAGGTGCCCTACCAGTATCCAATAGCAATAAATCATTTTTTCAAGGGGCAAATAGCAATCACACATATATAAGCTATGCAAGCAAGTATGATACTTATGTCCTATTTCCATGTGTGTTTGCCAAAAAAAAAACATTAAAGTGTGTGTTTGGGACACACAACACACGAAGCCAATTGGAGCGGACAACTAGGGGAGGGACAGGCAAGAAGGGTGACAGATTCTGGCGGCAGCCCACAGCGAGCAGTAAGGCCATACCACACATTTTGAAGGGCCTGCGTATATATTAGATCAGCATGGCCATACCACACAGATTAGGCTAGCTAGTTTGTAATTTGTAGATTATATGAGGTGCAAAATCCGGATAAGGAGCTGGCATATACAGGACCCTTATTGATGGGTATTCTGATCTGAGAGTAGTTTAGATATCTGATGAAGCAATCTCTATTCTCTCGAAAGATTTCCTACGCTTACTCTCTTCCGATCCCATATCTCATTGGAGTGTCGCAACTAATCTGCATATTCTTTTTTTTTTTGAAAAAAAAAAGTCAGGGGCACCAAATTTGGTGGAGAATCCACACAGTCGCTCATCCTGCCGACCTAGAACCTAGATACGCTGGTGGGCAGCTGCTTGGGTCACCTGACAGGTGCCTCCCCACTAGACCTGCAAGGGGTTCTGGTCGAACCTTTCTTGAACACAGTCCGCCCCTAAAATCTGCCCACGGGTCAAAGCGGAGCAAACCCAAAAGATACAGGGGCAGACAAGATCACGACCCATTGAACCTAGGATCGAACCGAACATTTTGGCAAACAAGGAGTTCTGTTCTCGCTTCTCGGAAAAATCCCGATCGCTACGTCCGACCTCCGCCGCCTCCGTTCCCCACTCCCTGGTCCCTGCCGCTGTTAGATCCAGCTCGTTGCTGACTATAGCTGTGTCCCTGCCGATCTTATCACCTAGTCTCGGAGCTGCATCTCCGCCATTAGTTAGGGCTTTCAAGTTTCTACAGTATTTTTGTCGTTAACTTGATCTGTATAGTTAGTGCATACGAACATACGATGACTAAGGCGAATTCAGGTACGCGAGAAGTTTCTGCAGTGACGTTGCTTGCAACTATTGAAGCTCTTGGGATTGATAGTACTATTCTGCAAAGTCTTTTCCTCCTCCATCAAGAACAACATTAATCCTGGGTCTACAGACAGTTATTATGGTAGTCAGCATTATTGTATAATGCTTCAGTTAACCGATGGCATTAAGGTCTCCATCACCATTATTCACGTCCATATTTGGTACATTGTATGTGTTTCCATTTGGCTACTGAACTTTTGGTGTTAAAGCAAGGCCCGTTACTTAAGTGTTGTTACCATCAAAATTGCATACCCTGTTGTTACGTGTTGGTGATGCTGATAGTAGTTTCTGAAGTCCAACAAAAAGAGGTCCTGATGGAGACAAGATCAAAGGGAACTTCTCCAAGTTCCTAGGAGTTCTGAACCTTGGAGCTGGAGATGGTAGCTAGTAGATTTGGATGCATTAATTGATGTAGCATGTATTTTGAGTGACATACTGGCATATGCTGCTGATTTGGTGGTTCTAGTTACTATCTTTCAAGAATGTTGGAAGTTAGATCCTAGAGACTCACAAAACGTGGTCATGACTATGTTTAAGTAGTGCACCTGAACTTATTTTTGTTCACAGGGCGTCTACTCAACACTAGCGAGCTATCTTAATTCTGAAATTTTTTGTGCATATAGAAAGGCGAGTAGTAGTGCTGGATCCTGACGGACAGCACACTAATCATACCGCTGTGTGCACTAATCATACAGCTGTGAGCATAACAGATTATAGCAGTTAGTAGTAGTAGTAGCAGCGTGCGGCCATCCAATAGGGTCGACCCTCGGGCACCCGCGGGTTTGGCGAGCTAGCCGGGAGAACGGAGCGGTTCGACCCGCGAACCTACTCTAACACTGGAGGTTCGATGGGTCTGCGAACCTGCTCTAACTCCCCGCTCCTGCTCGCCGCAAGGAGGTTTTGGAAAGGGAACAGGGGTGGGAGAGGGGCAGAGACAGAAGCTTACGAGCTTGGGCGCGTGCTTGAGGAGCTCCCGCCTGGCGCGTTGGGTCTTGGGCACCCTGATCGCCGCCACCATCTTCTCCTTCCGCTCCGATCGAAGCCGCCGCCGCGGAGAACAAGCTGAAGAGGAGGGGAGGCGGCTACCTGACAATACAGCACCGGACCACTAAACCCTAGAAAACCCGGCACCGCTTTTGTTCAGGAGGGGGAATCGCGCGGCGCCAGGCAAGCCAGAGAAGCGCCGTCGAAGGGGAGTGGAGAAACGGCGGCGCCAGCCTCGCCTGGCCAGCTAACCTAACCAGCTCGATGGGCCTACTGGCTTCTCCGGCTCACTAGTTACTGGGCTGCCATCACATGTGTCGCTTTAGGCCCATTAGCCCATAAAGCGTAGTTCCTTTCTGCCCTTTTCGTTCTCGGCCCTCAACGTCTCTCTCCCTTCGCTTACGTCGCACGCGACTATACTTGGCCATCGGGCCGGCCTGGCTCGGCACGGCCCGGAGGATGTCGGGCCGGCACGGCACGCCGTGCCTCCCGTGCCGTGCCGCTGCGGGCCTCGTGCCTTGCTATCAGCCCAAGCACGGGCCTGTGGGCCTAAATCCGTGCCGGCTAGGCACGGCCAAACGAGGAGCGGCGCACAAGGCGTTCCTGCTGTGCAACTACACGCTGCTGGGGGCGGCGTCGGCGTGCATCTTCCTCACGCTCTCGCTCCGCCTCGCGCCGTCCGCGTGCGGCCTGCTCCTCGTCTTCCTGCACTCGCTCACCGCCGTCTTCGCCGCCGCGGGGTGCTCGGGCTCCTTCACCGACGGCGGCGCCGGGCGCGCGCACGCCGCGCACACTGCGGGGGCCGTCCTCACCGCCATTCAGGGCGCCGCCGCGCTCCGCCGACTTCCTCGCCGAGCTGCGGTCCTACGTCCGGGAGGAGGACGGCGAGGTCATCCTCAAGCTCATCGGCGGGCTCGGCACCGCCATCTTCGTGCTCGAGTGGGCCGCGCTGGCGCTCGCGTTCGCGCTCCGGCTTGACGACGATGGCAGCGAGGTGGTCGACGGCGAGCACTGCACGAGCTGGGCGTCAGGGTACCATGTCTGATTCTGCTCTGATCAGGCACCGGAGATTGGAGAGATACAGGCACAGAAATCAGAAATGAGGGATTTTTTTTCTCTTCTATTATTTATTACAGCTGTGGGATATATTCCGCTGTTGTTACTGTGATCATGAACCGAAGTGCAAAGGCAAATGTTTTGCTTTGCACTGTATTCAGTTCATCAGTTATAAATTGCAATAAAAAAATATTTATTCAGTCAGCCGTAAAAGTGTGGCTCTAATCCTTTTCATCCAAGCGAAGCAGACTCATCACTATTAGACAAAATGATAGTAAAATTATCCAGTTGAGAGTAATTTTAAATATAACCTATCAAAAAGATTTTGTCAGTTTAATTAGCAATGATAACATAAAAGCTTAAATTCCGAGAAATACTATTGAAGGATTGGAAACATACTTTTCACCAAGTAGACAAGCCTCAGTATAAATGCAATATGAATCTTTTTTCTACAGCTATGTGCAATGGGCACAGTAAGGTGAATAAATAAATAAAGATCAGACATCCATCATTACAGAAGCCAAAAAGAACAAACAAGAATGCAAAGTGAAAGATAAAAATAATGAAAGCCAGCCTAAAATTAGCATATCCATACAACGAGCAGATTCTAAAATAGAATGACTAAAACATGAAGCTTATCAGTCTGGTGCTAACTTAAAGACCATAGTACGACAGTGTTTGTTCTAATGTGCTAACTTAAATATCATCCTTGCGTTGTCTGTAATTGTAGTTTGATGCTCCTACACGCACATGTGGGTTGATGATAAGTCATAAACTTTAAAACTCGTTGGTGCTCAGCGACACCTTGAGACCTGTTACTGATAGAACCCACGTATAGACCTGTTACAAAGGTTGTTGGCTTCCCAGAACCCCGGAAGCAGGCCATAATTCTCAACTCTGATTCATATCCAAATCAGTGTCAACACCTTCTTCATCCAACGAGCAACAGGAACCTTGTTCGGCAACTGTTTCCCACATTCCATATGGCGGCAATGTTCGGCTTTTGCTGTCAATACTGATAAAGTTTCTTTTTTTTCGAAAGCGTGCTTTAGCACGTGCTTCATTAAGGGAAGTGGGAATCAAGGTACACAACCCGAAGACCCGGTTGGCGAGTTGCCATAGGCGCGACGGGTAGAACACATACAAAGATCACCGGCTCGAACGGTGGAGCAGCAAGGTCGTAGTGCTGGCTAGACTAATTGTGCGACAGAGAGCTAGGGGAAGCCCGCTAGGCAACAGACGTGAAGAGCAGCGCGAAGCTCCGGAAGCCGGCCGCTATCCAGTCGTTGGCTTCGTGACGGATAAGAGATACGAGCTCGGTCGCGTCTTGCAGGAGGAGTCGAAGGTCCTTTTATTGCGTTCCTTCCAAACCTCTCAAGAAACGAGCAGCACCAAGGAGTCGAATCCCCACCGGAAGGACTCGGGAACCGCATCCGTTCCTGCTGCCACCAGTCGAGTAGAACGGACTCGTCGCTCGGGCAAAGATGCTGGAACCCGACACGTGCGAGGAGGCGGTGCCAGATCTCTCGGGTGAAACGCAGGACACCAGCAGGTGGTCAGTGGTCTCCGTGCGTTGGGAACAGAGCACGCAGTCGGCGCTCTGTTGTAGTCCGTGGCGCATGCGTCGCTCCGCGGTCCAGAGGCGGCCAAGGAGGGCTATCCAAAAGAAAAACTTCACCTTTGGTGGTGCGGAGGCGCGTCAAAGCTCTCTAGCGCCAGGCATCACGGTCCTCCCCAGGAAGAACGCCTGGTAGGCTGAGGAGCTCGAGTACACGCCGCCGGATGTCCACTTCCAGATCACGCGGTCCGGGACGTTGGGCTGCAACTGAACGTTCTCCACCATCTCCCAGAGGCGGAGGTACTCAACTAGGACTGCCGCAGTCCTCGCTCCCGTGATGTCTCTGGCCCATTGCCAGCCGTTCATGGCGTCTCGCACGGTACGGCTTCGCCGGCGGCTCCCGACTGCACGGAACAGGTTCGGGGCGAAGCTACAGATGGCACCCTCCGGGAGCCAGGCGTCGGTCCAGAAACGGACGGTCGCGCCGTCCCCCAGCTGGAAGGAGACCGAGGCCCTAAACATGGCGTCGATGATGCGGCCCGGCTTCGATGGCAGGCCGTTCCAGGGGGCGTCGGGCTGGGACCGTTGCAGCCATTCCCACCGCAGTCGTAGTGCGAAGCCGAGGGAGGTGAGGTCCGGTAGCCCCAAGCCACCGAGTTCCTTTGGGGAGCAGACGATCGGCCAAGCAACTCGGCACTTGCCCCCGGCGACCGAGTCCGTGCCCGTCCACACGAACGCCCGTCTTCTTTGGTCGATCTCCTGGATCGCCCACGGGGAGAGCGCGCAGCAGATGGAGACGTGCACCGGGATCGCTGAGAGGGTGGACTGAGCCAACGTCGTCCTCCCAGCGGTCGTCAGGAGGCCGGCCTTCCAGGTGGGGATCCTGGCGGCGACCTTGTCGATGAAGTTCTGCTCACAGGTCCGTGGCAGCTTGGAGAGCGAAAGGGGAGCTCCCAGGTAGGTGGTGGGGAACTCCTGTAGGCGGCAGGGGAAGACTTGTCTCACAGCCGCGACGTCTTCCTCAGAGCAGCGGATGGGCGTGATCGCGCACTTGTCCAGGTTAGTGGCTAGCCCGGACGCTCCAGCAAAGAGCTCAAGGATCATGCGGATGCAGCTGAAGTCCAGAGTCGAGGGTGCCAGGAAGATTACCAGGTCGTCCGCGTAAATGGAGGCACGGTACCTGATCGCGTTCCCAGGGAGCGGGGTGAGCTGCGCACGTCGGTCGGCTTCGGTAATCAGCGCGTTGAGCACCTCCATGACGATGATGAACAGGAACGGCGAGAGCGGGTCGCCCTGTCTGAGGCCGCGCGCATGACAAATGCGGCGGCCGGCCCGGCCGTTCGTGAGCACCCTGGTGTTGGCTGTGGACAGCATGGCGGATATCCAATCGCGCCAGCGCAACGGGAAGCCAAAGCGCTCCAGCACCTCAAGCAGGAAGGGCCACGCCACCGTGTCGAAGGCCTTGGCGAGGTCGACTTTCAGCAGGATCATAGGGTGGCGCCGGGCGTGCAGCCAACGGCACGCGAGCTGTACCGTGCGGAAGTTCTCATGTTTCCTGCGCCCACGGATGAAGGCCGTTTGGTTGATTTTGATCACCTCTGGCATTCGCGGGGCGAGGCGGAGGGCGAGTCCTTTTGCAAAAAAATTTCCAACCGAGTGGATCAGGCTGATCGGTCGGTAGTCCTTGAGGCCATCCGGTGCTTGTGTTTTGTGGATGAGTACCATGGTCGCTTCATACTGATCAAGTTTCCTTTTCCATTGGTGGAAGAAGGAAATTGCAGAAGACATCATCCAGTATCATCTTCTGTTGCTTATCCTGCCATTATGCAGCCTTGCGACACAGTCACTTAGAAAATTCTTACGTATCCTTGAGGAGCTTTTCTTCCTCTGCTTTCTGAATAAGAAACCATTGTGCATATGCACGCTTGCAAAGTGGTTTCTCTCTCAACCACTTAGGATGCGTTTGGATCCATCCAAAATTCCATAACCTGGTAGAAGCTAGGTTCATTCAGCTTTTGAGATTGTGGAAGCTAGCTTGGTGGATGTTTGGAGACTATCCCAGCTTCCACAAGCCATTTTGGAATCTCACAAGATCCAAACAGGCCGTTGGCACCTGATAGTTGATTATATGGACCTATGATGGTATTGCCCATTTGCCCTCAGGTGTGGGACTTTGTTGACAAACTGCTATATTCATGAAGATGCCTTGAATATGCTTTCTTACAATCGGCTCACAACTTATCTCAAAACAGCTGCCTGATAACAAAGAAGAAACAAGAGGACATGGAATATTGTTGTCAAATAGAATGAATCTACTAGATTAGCAAGTTGTGTGCAGTACAAAAAGGGGTAAGATTGTAGGACTGTTAAATACCATGTGTCTTGCACCATGAAGAACACCTTGTGTTGTTTCAAACATTGCACATGTCAAATTTGCAGCAACCTCTTCAAGAAAATCTTTCCTGCTATGAAGCTCGCCTGCTTCCCGAAAGAAACATATATGCATAAGGTGTCAAACTTGAAATCATTTCTGTACAAACAATTTTCTAGAGCATGAAAATTAATGTAAACAACGGGTAGGTTGCACAGGTAATATTATTCTAAAGAAGAAAAATAATATGAAGTGTCAGCTTAGATCATGTACAGGTATCTTTGTTAATGTCAGATGATGACCTGATTGGTCAGCACTGCCAAATTGGGTGCCAACCTCCCATTGCCTCTTAATGAAAAACGTGCTAAGCACGGTCTCGGAAAAAACAAACTCCCGTTGTTGGTGCTAGGATAATTTATCACCAATGAACAACTTCCATTCCTTTTTTTCTCAAACGATGCAGGAGAGCTGCACGTCGTTTCATTAAGAGAGGAAAGATATTTCGAAAAAAAGAAAGGAAAGAAAAATACAAAGGAGGAAGCCAAAATGGACCCCTCCCCAAACACACCCAACACCAAGCCGGCTAGCAAACATGACTACAAAAGCACCACAAAATAAACAAGGTAACGATCAGAAAACAAATTAAGAGTCAGGGTTTGAGGAACCTACGGAGTCAGTGGAGTGTGCAAGTACCAGCGAAACACCACAAACTCATTTTTGAAAAACTAACACCACAAACTCATCGGTGTAACAAAGTCTGAATACTTGGCCTGGCTCCCTCAAACACGCAGGCGTTTCAGTGCTTCCAGACTTGTGAAGTCACTAGGAACAGC